CCAGATGAATGTTTGGTTGGTCGAAACGAAAGCAGTGTGAAGAGGGTGGTCACTATCAAATATGATGCCACAATAAATCCCTATCAAATGTTTATTTTTTAAAGATTTATACTTGATTTATATAGGCCTCTATAGCTAAAAACTGTACTTAGCTTTGGAGAAGGTTTTTATCCTATTCAACAAAATTCTGATAGAAAGATTCCGAGTTAGCAACAACAAATACATTTCTTTGTAAATAAGAGCAAGTAAACAAAGTATTGTAGAATACTTAAAGTAGTAAAGATAAAAAAGTAAAAAAAACAGAAAGGGCCCACACAATCCGGTCTTAGTAGTAATACTTGGGTAATCGAAAGACTACGAAGGTCACGTAAATTTGCCTTCATTTAATAGGAATCAACACACAAGTGTCCACTCAGAGTGTTGTGAACATGGTTCCCCACTAAAATAGATATAAACTATATTATATCCAAGTGAAGAGAGAATGAATAAAAGGACTGAGAAATATTTTAAAGGTTTAGGAGTGGCCGAACCCAACTTAACTGTAAAGACTATTTCAGAAGTTCTCTATAGCTAATAGGTCAATTTTCTAAAGTCATTTAGTAAATACCAGGTAATATTGTAATTTATGGACTATGCGTAAGGATGGCTTAAACTTTTTTGCGTACATAGGTTTTTCTTTGAAAATAAAAAGTGATTGAGAACTTTGTATTTTTGTGCTTTATACCTTTGTGTTTCTTGTCATTACATTTTAAAACATTTCAGTCCACATATTAATTTTTTTCATGAAATTTATTTATTAATACATGTTTACTTTTAACTCCTTGCGGCCTGACCCCCTTTCACTGAATGGCAGAAAGTTTTTCTAATCCCGGGCTCTGGGTCGATGCCGCTGTTCAAAACGCTTTTGATACAGGAGCTGGTATGGCCCTATTTACAGCTTATTCTGCCTACTTCACCCGACGAAATGGGGTTGTGCGCTACGGAACAATGATCCCAGCGGCCAACAATATTGTCAGGTTATAAAGAGTGACTGACCACAATGAGATTAGCTTCCAGACAACTTTTGATGCTGTTGAAATGCTATTTAAAATAAATTCAACCAAAAAATTATTGGATAACTGTTGATTTGACCAGACTTCTCTTAGACATATACGTATAAACAGCCTCCCTTCTCTATATGTATAATATGCAATTTGCAATCCTGTAATATTTGCTACTAAGGCTTAGCCATTGAGTCTGAAATGATTTAAATCCCTAACCTCGTCAGAAGGATAAAGGATTGGAGCATATAGTGCTGAAATTGTTTAGGAAGCAGAAAGTAAACAAGGCTAGTTCATTCTAATAATTATAGAGTCTGTATGTGAGTTCATCATAAAGGTGGATAAAAATGAGTGCAACAGAGCAAGGAGATGGAGCCTGATAATCAAGATAAATTGTTGGACCAATATAGGCAAAGTTGGAGAGGCCAATGAATGGGACGTTACAGATACTTAATACGAATGTATGATGGTGATCTAAAGTCGGTCCTAGGGCAAAGCAACTTTACTTCTGCGGAAGAAATTAGGTCATGTAAATTCAAAGCAGCAAGGTTCGTTGGAAGACTTTAAATGAGACGTAAATGATGGTTGAGCTTTGTTATCCAGGACATATGTTGCTATCACAGAAGGGGGAAGAAGCCGAGTAGGAAAGTGTGATGCTGATTGAAATAGGTGCATTTATAGGAGCTTGCTTGACAGCAAGAGGAGCATTAGACTTGCCAATGACGTGAGATTGTAGATGAAACGAACGCTGGGATTTTTCATGTAACGAATCTGCAAAAAGCGGATGATGTAGAAGAGCCATGGCGACCTGTGATGGAAACACGCGCTGGTGGGAGCCTGACGCCTAAAAAGGCGAGATACTAAAAAGATCGCTAAGTCAAGAGTTCTTCCTGCTTAAACCTTTGCATAATTTGAATGTCGACATCTGATTGATGTGTGAAGGCGCTGATTAGAGATGATCACTCATGATTATTGAGTAAAGTGAGCATGTATGTATCGAAACTAGCAGATGAAATTGGAATTAGTAGGCATGTGCTAATAGTAAAAACAATCGACAGCTGTCCAAGAGAAATCAAAAGACGTCTTTTGGTTGGATCGACCAGCGAATTTCTTACTCAATTACTGTTAATCGAAATGGGAGTTAGCTCAACAATTATAAATCAAGAGACTCCTCTAAACAAAGATTTTCTTTTTATAGGTTACTAGTATCTTCAAAAACGCGTAGTATGCTGATTCGTGACGCTGAATCACGCTTGGCACTTCAGATACTGCCAGTTAAGCTGCTTTCTTGATTTATAGACTTTGATTCGGGTCGGAGTATCTCA